AAAAAAAAGTTTTGGATTAAACTTGATCAATAGTGAAATTCAGTCTATTAATACAGTGATCATTACTTTTGAGACATTCTCTGTTAAAGTATCAATTTTAGATGAACTTAATTCACGTTTTTCTGGAATCGAACCGCTCTAGTTTTTAAAAAAATTTCGAACCAAATCGGTCCTATCTCTGTTACGTATGAGTCCAGGTGGTTTGTGCGGGTATTGGGTCGTGAGGCGTTGGGGAAGGGAGGGGAAAGGTGAAGCGGACAGTTGAACATAAATACTAAAAGAATCAATAAGTTCCAGAAATTTGAAAAAATCGATTGCCAGAATGAAGAGAGTCCTCCAAGTTTTCTTTTCATTCATTGATACAAGGGATGTCTTCTACTGTGGCATCGGCATAATGATGCTAACCTACAAAATGATTCACAATATATTAGAGTTTTACTGATTAACTTGAATAGACTTTGAAAATATTGATAAGATAACTTTCTTTCATAAATAACGTAACTACTGATGTCCTGTATTATTTACTGTCTCTTTCAAAAAACAACAAAAACAACTGTGCATGTATTGTTCTCCGATAGGAGAAAGTTTGAATATTAGAAAAAATACATAGATATCACTTTAAATTTCATGTAGTTAACTTTGACATATGTAACATAGGATCATCGATCATTAATTAATGAAAATTTAGTTAGAAATGAGAAGATGATGTAACTCATAGAATTCTAATGAAATATTTGTTGTCGAAGCTTTTCACTAGTAAGCCTTCAAAATCATTTATTTATAGAGTATATCATAGACATGTTTTTTTTACTAAAACTTATGTCAACAAATGAGAATCATGTTTATTACGAAAATTCGAAATTTTTATTTTGTCAAACAAGAGTTCGTTCATATTGGTTTTGAACAATGAAAAGAGTTTATTCAGTTTGTGAATTGGTGATATTGAAATGATATATAATTTTAGTCTAAAAAATTAAGTATTATAAGTTTAGTTTATAAAATATTCATTTAATTGATTTCTCATGTATTTTTTGTTACCTATTTTATGCAATTGCTGATATTAATATCGTACTATTTATTGATTTTTATTGTCGTAATTGCTTTTATAACGTCAGTTAAAATAATAGATTTTTTTTTAACTTGTTGAAGAAAAAAAGCATTGAGTCAGAATGTATTCAGCTTTTTACAGAACTCTTTTTCATTTTTGCTATTCTGTTTAATCATAAGAAAATTTATTCTATTTCACGATTTCATCATCAATATTGGTGCGAAAAAAATTCAATTGATTTCTCAATACAAGAAATATTTACAATCTTGTCTTTTAATCGAACAATTGAGCTTCTTCTTTGAACGCAAAAAAAAATTCTAATCAATATATATTTCTTTTTTTTCTTTCTTTGTTGACATTACGAATATCTTTAGTTTTTTAAGGGCGTTGCTTAAAAGAAGTCCTAAAAAGAAAATGAACCATCATAATAAATAAACCTTCGAAAAATAAGAAAAACTACAATGAATTTCTGTTGATTAGTCTATCTGATCAATAACCAATGAAAAAAGAACGTGAGACAACATTGTAGATGTGCTAGAAAAACGAACATTATGAGAAGATATTAATAGAGAAAAAGTTCATAATAACACACACTATGAAATTTGAGTTTCAGTAATATTTTGTAAAACTCATGTATATTTTCGAAGAAAATAGTAAGTGTTAGTTTTAAGTTGAAGTTTTTCGGCTCTTCACCTTTCTCATTATTACAGGCGCTGACCTTTCCCATTCCTCCATTACAGACCTTAATACCTCCTCTCCATTCACTGACTTTAGCAATCCAGGACAACCAGTATCAGACTCCTTATCCAAAGTTCTTTAGCAAACAAAAACAGGCGCTGAATGGCATTAACAACAACACAATGGCTGTTCTAGAAAATTCTAGAGTTTTCTAAAGTCTTCGTCGAAATGTCAATGATTAGAATATGTTTGCGAATGTTTTAAATAGTGCAGTTTTTGATTTTTGCTCAGATAAAAATTTATATTCAAGATGTCGACAATGATGGATACTGATATACTGATTAGTCACAGTTTTCATATGATCAATATAAAAATCGTGAATTGATCAAGTTATAACTATAGAAAATAATCCATATCAGTGTTTGTGAGTTAATCGAGATATATAATAATGCGTTAAGATATATTGCTCCAGATATAATGGATATTTACAACAGGCTTATTTGCTATATAATTCAATGTTAAATTAATAAAAACGAAATACGAAAAAGAAAAATAACGAGCGAATAGCAATAGTACAAACAAAAAATAGAGTACTCGTAAAAAAAATAAAACACATTTTTATATTGCAGTGATCAATTATATTGGACAACAACTATAGTCTGCTAATCATTTTTCACTTGACGCATTTTCTATTAGTTTAATCAAGCTAATAAAGATACGTGAGTTCAACATTTCAGCCCTACAAGCGCTACACTAAAAACCGTTTTTGCAAGACGAATATCAGTATGATTCTGTCATAAATAAACCATATCTGCCTACAAACTTGTCAAAAATTATTATTTGACAAATCATGAAAACATTGAAATCTTCTCAGAACACGTACTATATGTATGTTTGGATAAGAAGACCGTAATGTTTAATATTGGAATTAAATGAGAAGAATCTTTTCTTCAAAGTTATTAAATATAAAATAACTTAATTTTTCTATTAATAACTTTCCTGTCCATATTTAGCAGATTATAGAAGTGGTGTCAGATTCAATAAGAATTGACTGTTGTCAATATTAACTTTCGTAAACAGTATATGAGTAGATATCTAATAGTACTGAATAAATATTGTCAAATGAAAACTGCGTATTCTTAACAAAATTTAAATAATATTCTATAGAATGATTTTTTTTATATATTGAATTGCGTTTTTATTATAAGGACATATATATTGAATTTTGCATCTTGATCTAGCAAAAGTGCATGCGCGTTTGTTTACATTGGTTTGTTTGAATAATACACAACTGCTCGTTGGTAGTGACTATCGATGAAGCATTTCAGTGTGATTGAATATTAATCAACATGCAAATAGCTTCAAAAATCATCATGAGTGATGCCGTTTCGAACAATATAACATGCAGATGCCAACAATAGTCTATTCGCTTCTTTATAAAAAAAATCTTTTTTTCACTTTCGTTAAACATTGGCACAGCAAAAAACGAAAACAGAAGTCATCATTTCATACGTGCATCTAATGACAATCATCTCAGGAGGGAACACATTCAACTGTCGGACGCCATTCGCGCTCATATTTTGGTTACGAGTAGGACTGAGTAAGACTAAGAAAACCTTCAAAGGGTTCGTGCCCATGGCGTGTTCCTGGCGAGATATCGAATCTCTAGTGAATTTTCTTTATAGCACTCAAGTTTTGCAGCAAAGCTATACTTTTGAATTTTGACTTGAAATTTTGCCTACATAAAGGACTCAGCTAGACTAGCTTCCATAAAAAATTTCAGAAGTTTTGAACAAAGTCTTTTCGAGATACCAAGTTTTCAAAAAATGCATATTATACATATATGCTATCTATGAAAAAGGGTCCGTGTCTTGATAGGTCTATATCTCGGAGAGACTTTGTTCAAAACTTTTGAAATTTTTTATGCAAGCTAGTCTAGCTGAGACCTTTATGTGGGCAAAGTTTCAACGCGAAATTCGAAAACATAACTTTGTTGCAAAAGTGGTATGCTATGGCGAAAATTTACCAAAAAACCTGATATCTCACTAGGAACACGCCATGGGCACGAAAGCTTTTAGGGTTTTCTTAGTCTCACTCAGTCCTACTCGTAGCCAAAATATGGGCTCGAACGGCGTCCGACACTTGAATATGTTCCTTTGTCAGTGAATAATAATGATATTGAAGAACAATTGATACTATTGTAATAAGAACGGTATTTACAGGTATTGGAATTTATGTCATTAAAGCGTCCACGATTATGAGAATCTATAATTCAGAGAAATCATCTAGTTTCTTATTGATACTTAGATTGAATTTTTATTTTAAAATATTTATTTAGTAGAGAAACTTGAAAAGTGCATTCTTTTTGCAAACTAATAGATCTAGTTCTAGTTCACATATTGCAATACCAAGCGAATAAAGTTTCAAAAATACACAAGCCACGAAACTATAAAATAAAAAAATGCATTAAAATGATGAAACAGGTATAAATACAGATGTGTTCCAAATTTAGTGATTAAAATAAACATTTTCATTAGTGTAATTCGATGATTTTCGATTAAAAACTAAATTCATTACATTTTCTTCATTAAATTATCTTTTCAAATCAATGAATATGAAACACATCAATTTTTATATCCGTTTTATCCTTTACAGCACCATTTATTTTCGTGATTTTGATAAAAAAAAAACTCATGAAAGTCATGAAACTACTTTTGATTTTTTAAGTCCATGGATACTTTCTTTAATAACAATCGTATATATAGAAGAAGTAATACATATTGATATCCCAAAAGTTTCGATCCCTCTCAGTAAAATCAATAATATGTATGTCAAACTTATATGAAGGTATCGATCAAATTATGTCATTTTGTAGAGGAAGAGAAGAGCTATCATCTGAAAAAAACACAGTTCGAAATACATATATTTGTTACAAAGTTATGGTCATTGTACTAATTTTGAGTGAAAATTTTTACGTTGCATTTTTTGAAAAAACAAAAATATTCTTATAATACTTGAAGTGAAATATTATTTTCCAGACTTTTTTATATAGTTCGATAGAGTTCGTCAAGCTCTACAAGCATATGAATATCAACAAGTTTGCTGATCCTATTTCTGATGCAAAGCTGGGAGAAAATCAGAAAGACTAATAAAAAAAATCTCATATATGTTGCATTAAAGAGAGTATGCTTAACTTTCAATAAATTGAGTTAATCGACTATTGAGCTGTTTTTGAAGCTTGGAAACAGTATTTTCACCTACAGTACGTAAGAAAGTATCTCGAAACATAAAATAATAGACTGAACAGTCGATCTACCAATGTTATTGAAAGTTAAGTATATTTTGCAATGCATTATATGCCAGACTTTTATTAGTCTACCTGATTTCTTTTTAGTTTTGTATTGAAACGAGAATCCGAATTTTTTTGGATATCCATATTCTTGTAGAGCTTATCGAACTCTACCGAATCATATAAAAATACCTACTGAGTCAATGTAGAAAATCATTTTTTCGATTGACCTTGATGACTCAAACATTGCAAAATTTTTTTTGTTTTTTCAAAAAATGCAACGTAAAAATTTTCACTCAAAATTAGTACAATGATCATAACTTTGTAATAAATATATGTATTTCGAACTGTGTTTTTTTCAGATGATAGCTCTTCTCTTCCTCTACAAAATGACATAATTTAATCGATACCTTCATATAAGTTTGATATAGATATTATTGATTTTATAGAGAGGGGTCAAAACTTTTGGGAGACCCTTTATTACTGAGATGAGCAATATTGTTTTATCCTCAAGTAAAAAAATTTCATCTCATTTCAAACTTTATCAAACAACTTTTTTTTCGTACGTTGAGAAAATATCTTGTTGACAGAAATTGTTTTTCGATGTCGACACTACTTGTCAAAAGGTAAGTATATGAGATTTTCTGATTAGTCAATAACGACTGCTTTTCATCATATAATATTTTTACATGCATTTGCTTTTGTAGATTCTGATCCATTGATATAAGTAGTGACGAACCATGTGCTTAGGTTTGTTCATATTGTTTTGTTATTTCATTTTTACTAATGCAACACACTTCAATGGAGGAACTATTGGATGGGCTCCTGTTGATCCTTATGATAATTCCACTTCAGTTAAAATTACTATTACACAATCTTATTCATGGACATATCCATATATAAAATGTGCCAATAATGTACCGATCTCGACAAGTGCATTTGCTAGTGCCAACACTAACCTGACTTGTGTAGTTGATTGTTCAACTGATGGTAGTTATTCTAGTGCACCGATTAATATTCTCACTGACTGTGCATCAACTAGTTCATCATTGAAAATGATGACAAGTGAAAAATCGAAAAATGTTACTCTCTCTGCTGGTGCACATTTTTATTTAGCTTATAGAGGAAGTGCTTGGGTAGGATTAAATGATCCTGCTGAAAAAAATCTTGACTGGTCTATAGTAACATACATTGATCTTCGGAAGCGATCAGATGGTTTCATTAATACTCCACCTGTTGCTAAAGTTGTTTCTCCACAATATGCTATTGTAAATAAAACAATACAAATAAATATTCCTGTTTCGGATGTCAATGCTGGTGATGATGAACGTTGTCGATGGTCGACATATACAACGGGATATCGAAGACGAAAACGATCGCATGAAAAAGAAAATGAAAACCAAACTAAAGACCGAGAAATTATTCATATTAGAAAAAAAAGAGCTTGTGCTGTTAGCTGTTGGTTAAGTTGTTCTTGTAACGATTCTGTTTGCTCTGGAACTGATTGTAGTGGTTTGACATGTAATAAATTTATTTGTTCGTCTACAGCAGCTACAACAACTGGAATCATTACTACAACCGAAACTCCAGGAACACCAAAATCGACTTCAACGTTTCCAGTTCGTCAAGCGGTTGACGAGTGTGCCGATATTTGTTATCCAGATAGTGTACCTTCTGGTACAAGTCTGTCCGACTGCACTGTCACATTTACGGGCTATAAAGCTGGTATATGGTATGCAGTTGCTATTCAAGTGAGAAGATTTTTATTCATTCGTCACTAATTTTTCCACTACGGTCATCACATTATTCATTTTTATCGAACAATCATGCCCAATATTAGTATATTTCGATATTTTGATACATGAGAAGAGTATTCCATTCTTGTTTCGTTACTTTATTAATTAGAAAACAGTATACAATCAACTATATCAGATATATCATTTCCTGCCGACAGAGATGTTTTATAAATTTGTTATCAGACACGAATCTCGAGAAAAAAAACAAATGTTATGAATATTAAAAAAAAAAAAGATATCAGATTATTTATTACATAATGTAATCTATATGTATAGTATAAAATGATTATATCGTTTTTTATAGGTTGAAGATTTTATCGATAGCACGAGTATGATACCAATGAGCTCAGTACCAGTTCAATTTTTGATATATGTTCAATCACAACCAGCTTGTTCAAAAGAACCAATAATCATTCCTCCAGATCGTTGTCTAGAAGTACAAGTTGGTATCTCAATCAGCTTTAATCTATCTGCAATGAATTTATGTAATCCAAGTGTGGCTACACTAACTGATATTCTAGTTTCAAGTGGAATTACTAGTATGACTCATGGTAATCTCACACAATCATCGACAAATTCATCGATCTACTACATGACATTCACTTGGACACCACAAACAAATCAAGTAGGATCGCAGCAGTTATGTACAACTGCGTACACAAGGTAAAATTTTTCTTAATTAGAGTTTCATGATTGTAACGTAGAGAAAAGCGTTGATGTATTCATTCCAGATCCTTAACAAATCCAATAAGGATCCTTTAATAATTTGTTCTTTTTTCCTGAAAAAACTATTATATCCTGAAGAAAGTGTATAGACACGGAATTTCAAGATTCTGTCAGGATTTAAAACAAGATTCAATCATGAGATTGACCAGTTTATCACTAGATTTAAAAACAGGAATCGATTCAGAAAACCATACATTCTGAAAGAAACGTGTAGCCACGACATAACAACCATTTGAACGGAATTTAGCACAATATCTTAGAAAGATTTTACGAGATTTTCCATTAGTTTGGATCAGGATTCTGCCAGGATTTCAAGGAGTTCGAATTGAGAAAGGAATTTCTGTGTATTTCATGCAGGGTTTTACTAGATTTTCTGACAGAGTCTTTGCAGGAGTTTCTAGACGGAACAGGAAAGAAATGTATACATACTGATCAGCTTATCCGGCCGGATTGTGTCATATTATTGTATATAACTTCAATATTCGATATCTTAAATTTTGACTTAAATATAAATTTCTTTTTGAATTTTTCATGAACAGAAATTATCTCAAAAAAAATTTTGAAAAACAATATGTTTTAAATATTTTTTTTCAATTGACAAAATTTCATTCTTTTTTTGTTGTTGATTTCTATTCGACTTAAACGATATATTTCTAATTTTTGTTTTTGATGCATAATTGAAAATATGAACAGCTTTTACGGAAAGATATGCTACATAATAAATATAGCTATTTAATGAAGAAATATTGTGTTAACCGAATCGAAATTAATACCCTAATTTAATAATTTTTCAAATTCTCTTTCAAGGTAAAAGTACAAAAAAAAGACTTTTATGAAACCAATCTTAGATAAATTTCAATAATTTACAAAAGTTCTACAAAAACAGCTTTATAAGATTCTGTCAGAATCTCTCTATTTGTTTATACCCAGCTTCAAATCATGATCAGGATAAAAATCCTAATGTCCCGATGAAAATCTTTGATGTTTTCGCCCCAAATTCTAAAAGATTCATGCAAAGATTCAGTTTTTTTCCCTCAATAAACAATTCAATCTTGCAGAAAGCGTGTAGTCAAGGTACTTCAAGATCTTGGCAGGATTTGAAAAATAATTTTGTCAAGGTCCTGAACAGTCTATTACTAGTTTTAAAATCAAGAATCGGTTCAGAAAATCTAAAATCTAGGAAGAAATATGCAGTCATTAAACGTTAAAGATTTTGAGAGGATGAGTGTGGGATCATCTTATTTTAATTCATATCTACACCATACTTTTATATTCTTGCTAAGATTCTTCTCTGATTTAGCTACTATTGTTAATTGAATCCTTATCCCAGAACCATGAATAGATTCTGAGTAAACCTTGATAAAATCTTGACGGCGTGCTGTCTACTATTTCTGTGAGGATCGTAGCTGCGACCGAGAGAAAAGTCTAGTAAAATTCTGAACTGTTGATTTAGAAAAAGTCTCGGTAGGAACATGAACAAACTCTGAAAATGAATCTTTTTTAACCGTGCGAGATCTTGCCAACAGAAATAACTAGTATTCGAGATAGGATCCTGAATAAAACTTGACAAGCTCCTGGGAATTCTTCTAAAACTGCTTAAGAAATGAACAGGATTGAGACTAGGGTAATAGTATTTTTCTTTTTGGATTAATTAGTGAAAACTTACAATCTGATCAATATTGTGTTATATTTACTGTAAAAAATTCATCTGATACCTGTGTAACAACTGCTACTTCCATGTCAACAACTACATCTACTACAACCACTTCCACAACAACATCAACAACCACTTCCACAACAACATCATCAACTACTTCCACAATAACATCATCAACAACTACAACTATAACAATAGCTAGCAGTACGACATCAACAACTTCTACAATATCGATTACTACGTCACTTTCACAAATATCCAACAGTGAATCACTCAATTATCTTTCTCTTGTTCTTGGATTAGGTTTAGGTCTTGGTATTCCACTAATGTTCTTCTTAGGTATATTGGCTACTTGTCTTTGTTGTCGATGGCATCCAGCACTCTTCTGGTACGTAGAGACATGTTATACTTGCATTTGTGTATTGTATTCATTCTGTTTTCTCAGGAGAAAATTGCGTCTGAGATTTCGGGAAGACGAGCATGCTCACTGCGAGGTATGCCAAAGACAATGTAATGGTCATTCATCTCACAACACCAATAAAATGTCTAATGAAGATCCAATAAACTATCGACGACAGTACATCAATGATAGTTCACAGAGACAGACGAAGGATTCATTTGGTGAACATTCATCTGTGTCTTATTCATATTCGCTTTCTGATGTTCCGTCGCAGACAACGACAAGAACGACGCTCATGTCGTCATCCTCAATTAATGTGATGCCAAGCGAGGATATTCCAATACAGGTAACTCGTCCTCGCCGACTATGGTCCCTTGAATCTGGTGGGTCAATACTTGTGCGAGCTTATGTGGCACAGGAACAAATAAAAGACAAATTTTCTAATTGATTTACATTTCTGATATAGTATTTCATTGACCTGTTCTTCCCTAATCATAATCCTATGCCACAAAACTTGTAAAGACAAATACTTTTTATTGATGAACAGATCGGAAACTATTTTTGCTTTTGCTATTGAACATTACTTGCAAAAACAAGAATTTCATTATAGAATACAAAAGGAAATGGTGTGCGTGTGAATGTGGTTGTGGTTGTAGGTAGAGTATGATTCTAGATGGTTTGTGCGGATATTTGGACGTGATGTGTTGGAAGGGGACAATTGGACGTAAATACTGAAAAAGAATCCATAAACTCCAGAAATTTGAAAAAAATCGATTGTCAGAATGAAGGAAGTTCTTCAAGTTTTCTTTCCGTTCATTGATACAAGTGATGTCCTGTAATGTGTCGACGGCATAACCAAGCTAAACTACAAAATAACTGACTATATAAAATATATAGATGTTATCTTAACCCTTTCTTGCTGGATGGCACCTATAGGTGCCATTTTTCAGGTTGTTGAAGAAGGACCAGCACTTATTGCAAGTAATGTAAAGTTTGGCTTTGTTATGCTGAAACTAATCATTTCCAATTATATCATCGACTGGAAGAATAGATCTTTCAAACTCAATTGATATACTACAACAAATGATGATTTGTGAAGTGAATGCAATTATCGTATGCTTCCGATAATAGTACCATAGTGTTCAGTTTGCTGTAACTTTCATAAGTTTTTCTATGCAATAAAAACTACCGAACATTCAATACGTCAACTATACCAGCATTTAGGCGATGTGATTCAAATTTTTTTTGCACATATTAGGGGCCGTAGCGATCACATTACCAGACGAACTTAAACTTTAGTCACAGGCAAAAAAAGGATTAACAGATATCATTATTTTGTAAATAACGTACATAGACAAATACTCTAGAGTAGAATAAGTAAAACAAGCTGTTTAATTAACATTGTTTTTTCTTTTATTAAACAAAAAAAATAACAAACAAACAAACAAAGAATTTAATTATTATCAGTCCTATTGTTTCTAACATTATTTTCGTTTGTTTTTAATTCGTTTTCCCGCTCTTGCTGTATTTGTTCACATTGATAAGAGGCGGTAATTAAATCATTCCATTCAATGCGAATATTGGCATCTTCTAATTAAATTAGGTGGGTGCAGACTAGTGTGGTATCCTAAAAATATGATCGCAATATTTGAAAAAAAATTGAATACTCGAGAACACTTACTTCAAAGATTCGATCAATTGCGTGAGATATAGCGAATCGTATGACTTCAGCTATATCAGCATCACTGTAGTTATTAGTGACACTAGCAAGTTGCTGAAAATTAGTTGTTGAAATATTGGAAGCTAGAAACCCATTGTTTCGAGGTTCATTGAGATGATAGTTAAAAATTTCCAGTGGTTCTTGCACATTTGGAAGATCTAATAAAAATCTCATATAAACATTCATCATATCAATAACATCGTTACAAACTTACCAATTTTGATTTGCATTTCAAACCGACCGCCTCGAAATAGTGCTGGGTCAATCATATCCAAACGATTGTTTGTGTCTAAATTAAAGAAACAGACTGAACTCTTTGTATGATATTTATTGCTTAAACTACCGAAAACCAACATATTGTTCAATGCATTATAACCATCCATCATTGTCAACAACTGATTAGCGATACTGTTGCGTGTATCTGGATCCACTTTCCTATAAAGAAATTTACTAAGTGTTATTTTCAAACAAATGCCGTCTCGTAGAGCGTATCGTATGAGCTTATCAAAACTTATACTTGATGTTCGCTTTGAAAAGAAAACATCTATTTCTTCAAAGACTACATGTAGTGGACTTGATTCATCTTTCTAAATAAGTTGAAAAAATAACAGATATCATAAAAACTAGTTACGATTTCCTCGATATCAATAGCTTACATTTCTTTGATCTTTGCCAGCTTCTTCAAAGAGCAACCGTACTGCTTCTTCAGGTTTGCCGATCAAAGAGTTTAATAGTTGTGGACCGTTCATAACTTTTGATTTGAAATTGAATTATTCGTACAATTCTCTATAAATTAAAACGATATATGTTAACGAGAAAAATCGGGTTCATTTGAATGACATACCTTATAATAGCCGGTATTCCTGTGTGAGTGTAGGTCGGCGTGAGTGTGGGTGGGGATGGGTATGGGTTTGGATATTAACTTAAACGAGACTCACACCCACGCCCACACCTACACCCACACAACCACACCCGCACCCAATGACCCCATGGATAAATTGAAGACCTTTAAAATAAATACTAGAGATCATGCATGCGAGCATAAAACAAATATCGCTTACCTAATTTTTTACGCGTATCTGGTGGTAATCTGCGTGATCTTAAAGCGCATTGAATAATTTGTTCAATTGCGGCCGAATAGCCGACAAATTTGATTCGAGAAAAATCGACGATAGGCTTTTCCCGCTATTAACAATGATATGACGGCTTCCACGTGATATTTATGACCCCGATGGAGACAATGCATATGGCTCTATCATATAGAAAAAAATAACTGTTATATTCAAAAAGAATAATTAATGATTTTTCCACCTCCGTATCACCGATAAGCGCGTATCCCATTGACACATGTGAATTTATTATCAATCAAAATCGATAACGAACACCATTCGGCTTTGTAATTGTGATTTCACTAAAAATAAATGTAGGAACCTCTGATTTAAATCCGAATGTTATGTGTACTTCAAAAAGTAAAAATAATTGATGGCAGATTGTCTTTGATCAAACAGTCTAAAATAGAAATCGAGCTTTAAGAAAAATGATTTCTTAGGATTATTTTGATGTCTAGACATGCTATGATGACTTATCTGTCTAGACAGGCTATGATGACCAGTCTGTCTAGACCGGCCATTGTGTCTCCATATTTAAGTCAATAAAGATCGCAGGAGACCTATATATGCGGGTACTATTCTTGCAGTCCATTGGCTCATAAGGTGGTAGTCATCGAATTCAGCTGAAATAAATGTCTTCGTAATAGGTGATTTAACCTTCTAGAGTCGTAATGTTTTATATACAATTTTGTAGCCCGTAAAATTCTCTATCGAATGGTGTATAATAGCTGAAGCTTTTTGATTATGAGACAAAAAGTTTTTTTTACAAAAACCGTAATAGGTCAATGCTCGCATAGATAAGCACAAAAAATAATCACATTATTTGCTATAACTCAGCAATTTCTTGATGAATCATTCTTATTTTCGAACTCGATCGAGATATTGATGAAACAATTCTGTGTGCTAAATTTCATCACAATCGGATTACTCTTTGAAGAGTTATCATGTAAACGGCCGGACACATTGACCGATTCTATAGTGTACTATACTTTTGAGTACACAAAAAACGATATATAGATAATTCTTTTCATTTTATCGTGTTATTTCTTTTTTTCTTTCCTCGATTTCTGATTATCAATATTTCTTTTTCATCTCATCTCCATGTCACTCAATCAACACAGAGCAAATCAAAAAATAGAAAATCTGTTCATTCAATTACTCATTGCTTCTCTATCTTTCCCATCCTTAAAGTATTCATATAACCCTCCGACTTGGAACATGCAATGAACAACTCATAAGCAATATAAGTTTACTTAGAAGAACCGTTTTAGTTCTTCAACATTTGAATTAACGATAACAATATTTTCCATGCGACGCATAAATGTTCTTTATACTTCGAGTAATAACCATATTTGTATTTGTATGTGATTAGGAGATAAATGTATACTAAGAAAAGGGGATGAATATTTATTTCGGTGACGATGGGTCATAATAGACGTAATGATTAAACAAAGCTTCATATGTCATACACTTAATACTGAGAGCCTGTTACTTTCATCAAATGTGCTTTGATAATCATAAAATGTGGAATTTTTCATCACCGATACAAATAATACTGTGGCACGTTCTACTTTATAAGGAAGTGATTTATCATTCAGCTTATAGATGATAATGTACGTATGTGATAGTTTCTTGTCACTAATGGTATTAAAAAATTACCATTCTTTGATTGGATTGAAAACATCCTATCGTCAAAAATAAATCAATCAGGAATGAACATTTTCATATAAATAGTGTGATTCTATGTTAGGCTTTGTCTACACTAGAAAAATAATTCGGTAATAATTTCGAATTAAATCTACATGCGTCTACACTTATAAATTTAATGCATCAATCAGAACTGAGAAATAGCCACAATAATGTAGTCGAAGTGCATAATTCTAGCACGTGTTCGCGAACAAAATGATGTCGCTTCTCTTTCTCACTAATCCTTGTGATTCATCGTATTGAAAACATCTATCTATCGATAATTAAAAAAAACGACTTTATCGAGGTTCGTTCATCATTTTGATTAGTGGATCGCAATCTTTCTCAATTGGTGTATTAAATTTAATTCATCTTTGAAACGTGCATTAAATCTGAATTGACTTTGCAACCAATCAAGTTCCTTAATTTGGTATTAAATTTTCTAGTGTAGACAAGGCCTCTATCGATAATACAAAGCAACTTTATCGAGGTTGGGTGTGGGTGTGGGTGTGGGTGTGGGCGCCTTCTCTTCATTCATACATGTACCCACATCCACATCCACACGTCATTTCTTCGATTTCTGTGAGTAGATGTCTAATTCGAGTTCAAATATGAATGAAAAATTAAAACAACCGCTTTCCTGTTGAAGTAACCAACAAAACCAAAAGAAACATTTTATCAAAGAGTTGTTAGTGCAATTCCTACGGGATTACAATATGAAATATGATGTAACTGTTATTACTAATCACGAAAATATTGTTTTATTCGATCTATCTTGAGACCATTTTTCCGTCATCTTCTGCTTAATCCTCTAGAACTACAAGAAGGGATCAGTTCATATATTCTCATGAGATATTAGTGATATATGATCGCTAATCGTGCATTAAAAATGTCTGTCACGGTTTGTGATGTTCTCTGGAGCTCCTCTGCCAGAGCTTGTAATGGATCTGGAGCCTATTTGTCACGGTCTGGAGGGAGGGGGGCGAGGAGGAGTCTAAAATTCTACCCCTGTACACTTCAACATTCCTTTTAGATCTTGTTTCACAAAAAATCACATCACTCTTGCAACACGAAAAAAAGCAAAAGATAAACTGTATACACATTATAAATTTATAATTCGAATAACACACTCATGTCGAAGCAAAAAACAGCAAAACATAAAATTTTATCTGTATAAGAATTATGATTCGAATTGGAACTGTTATAATCACTGTATACAGAAAGACGAGCATGGGCTGCGATTCTTTCGGAGCGCCAAGTGCCCTCACGTCACGAGGCTGAGATAATGGGTCACTTAAGCAGGCAAAAGGTGTTTTGGCAAGTAGAATACTTCCATATATGGGTACCGTTTTAGTATTGTTGTTAAAAACCTCTAATGCTTTTGCATTAGCATGAAACAATAAGACTGAAGCTTCAGCATTATTGACATTAGAGTTAATTGATGCAGAGCTGTCAGCATCAAGTTAGCATTCTTTTTTATTTTAATACTTTTATTCAACGTAGCTCTTCGAGATCTGCGGGACATGCTAACTCTAGCATTCCAGATGCAATAGAAAACAACTATGGTGTCACGGGCAGTATCTGTGATGCTAATAGCATCACCTGAGATACTAACCCGCGATGCAAAAGTATCCGTACAAATGTCGGGACCTGTTTTGTTCGAATGGAAAGTGCTAGAAGCCTACCTTTTTCACTCACAGATAGAGCAAAGTATGTACTTTAAAATACATATTTGCAATAAAATTTAGGATGAAGTTTAAGACATTAAATTTTTAGTTTTTTTA